TTGGTGAGGCAGTCGGGGTTAAGTGACTTGCCCAAGGTCACACAGCTAGTAAGTGTTAAGTGTCTGAGGCTGGATTTGAACTCAGGTCCTTCTGATTCCAAGGCCAGAGCTCTATTCACTGTGCCACCTAGCTGCCCCTCCCTTCCAGTTCTAAATTGATGATTGGAAGCCAGAAAATAGGTTGCAAACTCATTATTAGTTGGCAGTGACATGACAGACAAAAATGTTAATGTAACCTTGGACTATATTAGAAGATTAGTTTCTAGGCATAAGAAGGTGATAGCCTCTCTGTATTCTCCCCTGGTCAGACAACAACTGGAATATTTTGTTCACTTTTCAGTGCCTAAGCTTAAGAAGGACACTGATAAGCTGGAGAGGGTTCAGAGAGCAGCCTAGATGATGGAGGGCCTTGAATCCATGTCATATTGAAGATTGGTGGAAGGAAAAGGGAATGTTTAGCCTGGAGAAGAGAAGATTCACTGGGAACATGATAACTGTATTTAAGTGTTTGAAGAACTATCATACAGATTAAGCTTATTCTGTTTGATCCACGAGCGTAAAACCAGGAGCAATTGGTAGAATTTCAAGAGGTTAAATTTAAGCTTGAAGTTAGAAAAAACTTCGTAACAATTAGAACCGTCTGAACATGGAATGGGCTCTGGAGATCCCCTCTGACTAGAGCTCTTCAAACAGATGTTGAATAATCAGAGATAGTAGAGCGAGGAATTCCTTTTGGTCATGAGTTGGACTGGGTGTCTGCAGAGGTCTTTTGTAATTCTAAAATTCTGTGATTCTATAAAAGTTAGGGAGAAGTTAAGCTTGGCATGAGAAAAGAACAGAGGTCAGGACAAGGTTAACACAGGAGCTGATGAATGATCCAGCAGTTATTTCACTAAGTTACTTTTGGGTTGGAGTTATAACAAGGGTGATTTCAATGTTAGCTTGACATTATGCTTCTCCTATTTTACCTGTCTCAGATATTACTCTTCTGTAGTAAGTGAGGTTATTTTTTTCTTTTGTGGGGCAATCTAAAAGAAAGGATATATAAACTTCAAGGGAAGGAACAATGTATTATTACATTTCCTTTGTCTTCCTCAGACTTGTGCCAGTCCCTATAAACACTTGATTCAGCCTATGGTCCATGAACATCATAGATATTATACCTTCCACTATGGTTCTTTTATCTCAGTATCATTTACCGTCTGGTGGATGATAATACTTGTTTAAAAAGAATTCAGCTTCCCATATTAAGTCAGACTTCTGCACACAGAAATCATTTAATATCTAATTGAATTGAATGTAATGGTATTGTTAAAATGGTAGTCTGACTTTTGTGATTTATTTATTACTATAAAATCACCAGCTGCTGAGGAAGGTGTGAGTACCAAGTCATCATTGAGGAAGGGAATACCTGCAAACCATGAGCTGCTGGCAGAACTTCCCCTTTCCCTCCTATCACATGAAGAGTCATAGAATTATCTCTCTAGAGCTGGAAGAGACCTTAGAGCTCATCTAATCCAATCCCTTCATGTTACAGTTGAGAAACTGAGACTAGACATCTCAATTGACCTGCCAAAGGTCACACAGAGTTAATGACAGAGCCAGGCTTTGAACTTGAGACTCCGAGTTCAGAGCTCTTTCCACATTAGCTCACTGCCTCCCTTCTCTCATAAAAAAAGGGATTTAAACTTCCTCAGTAATTTCTGGGCAGCAGTAAGGAGTCTAATTACTCATCTCCAAACTGACCCAAGCTGTTTTTCCTTGGGAATACTGGAATAAACACCATTGATTGAAACAGCTCACATAATACAGCTATCACTTTTCAATCTCTGTGTACCTTAGACGCAGTATCACAGTATATTATACCAAGATATCAATAGCCTTGTGCAAGTTTTTGCAATATCTGTATCCTTAGACTACCTTCCAGACCAGTGGTCCTCAGTAAAGATCTGGTCCAACTATTCTGTAACAATATTCCAACCAAATAGCCGTGGTGACAATTAAGTCCAATACTCTTAATATACAAATATAATAATAGTTCAATAATATCACATCAGCAAACAATGACAATAATTTCAAGAGCACTTTGAAATAAGAGTATATAAGTTACTTGTAAATCAACTGTTCTGGCCTAGAAAAGTAAAATCACAATCCAATCACAGCCTACAAGGGAAAATTTCAAAAAGAAAGATCTTCAGCAGATCCCTGCAATGCTAGAACATATAAACACAGAGATCCTAGATGATCTCCCATAGATCTAACTTCCTGGGGTCTCTTGTGTGGCCTTCTAAGTTTTTTCCAGGGCCAAAGTACTGTTAGAATAATTATCCACTCAAATCCATAGTTCAGTACTTAGCTCACTACATAGCTCACACCCATATTTCTTGTACCAAACCAAACCAATTCACCATGAATTCTAATCAAAGGTATTTAATCAAATAGAATAACAAAAACAATTTAATTGGGTATTAAAAAACTCTTGCTTGCCCCCATTCCCAAATGACTGCTACTTTCACACATGTCCCCTGAGGGATACTCATCTCATTTCCCAGGTAAGTGCTCTGTCTCATCACCAACATAATAGGAAGGAGATTACATCAGTCACTCATAGGAAGCTGCAAGGGTATAGGGATGCTGAGCTGCTCTTTATGGAAACAAGCTGTTCACTTGAAACCACAGGCAGGTTCTGAGCTCTCTGGCTTCTCAGCACCAGAACCAGAGAAGATGCTAGAGCTCAGAATACAGGTGCCATTTTCTACCCATCTCTTCCCTGGCTAAACCCTATGTTTTACCAACTCTGATTCTCATTCTTCTTGAGACCATCTTTTTGGCCCTGTATATCTACTCTGTATAGAGTACCACAAATGATTGTTGAGGATTGTCTTAGAATTCTTCTCAAGCACACACATATGATAAATGTGGCACTTGGCCTACTGCAAAAGCTTTGCTAAACCTTCAGCTCCAAGGTTGTTTGAAATGCTTCTTCCTCTGTCTCTTGGGAGAAACACTCCTCTGGTTGGAGTAGCATAAGAATAGAAATTTGTTTAGTTGCATACGTGTCATCATCCAGTGGGGAAGGAAAAGCAGGGGAAAATAAACTCATCAGGGAAATAGAAAATGGAAACACTCTCAGATCCAACACTTCTCAAACTCCTCTCAGTTGACATTTTATTTAAACTGCTTTGATAAATAATGAGCAATCAGCTATGCAAGGTTTTTATGTGAGGTCACAATTAGCTTCTTTATATAACCCATGAAAAAAACTTTCTGAAAGTAGGAAACTTCACTAGAGAGAATTTGGGAACCTAGAGTGATATGCAATGATAAATCCATTTTGATTTCTCTAAATTAAGTATAAGCCTACAAATCTTTTTATATTAAACTTCCATAAACACCGTCAAGAGATTTCATTTCATCAGTGTGATGGGTGAAGATAGTCACATATTTTATCTTACAAAGCTAAGTTGCCAATTATATAAAATGCTTATTATCTTTTAAGTTGCTATATGCTGATTTTTTAATTTAAATTGCATCATTTACTCTGATACTAATTTGTAAATGAATGAATGAAGCATTTAAGTGCTTACTATGCAAAGCAGTGTGCTTTAATTAAATTAAATTTAAATCTCATCCAGTAATAATTTTCAGTGATAATCTGTATTGTTATTATGCTAATCTGCCTCCAGCTTTACACATCTGTTAGTCTCATGTTATTCTCACAAAAGATGGGAAGCAGTAGGGGTGACCTACAAATGGAGAAAATGATGTACCATCAGATTAGTTAAATTGTTCTAAATCAATGTGTTTATTATAGGCAGAGCTAGGGTCATTATTTAGCTCCCTGGCTTCTAGTTTGGTATTTAGACCCACCAGACTGTATTGTTTCCTTTTACTTAAGGTGGATTCATTATCCTCATTGTCAGTCTTTCCAGTTGCTCAAGGAAAGGTATTCTTAATAAGATTTCCTGATTGAGATTTGTACCACCACTCTTTGGGTACCATTCTTATGCTTGCAGTAAGGAATTCAAAATAATGAATGTGGCATTTTGACTTTCTTAAGAATATTTTGGCTCAAAGCAAAATACTTATAAGGAAATGATGCTTTTGTACATAGATTTCATTACTTTGCTTCAGTATTCTCTAGAGCAAGTGAAACATTACTAAGCTAAATTGTCCCTAAATTGAAGTCTTGTATGCACTTAGACATTATCTCATGGTTTTAAAAGAGGCAGTATTGTCTAAAAATCAGGTATTGGCAAACTATGATTCATGAGCCAAATCTAGCGCATCTCTTTTTGTATGGCTTGCTAGCTGAAACTGGCTTTTACATTTTTACAATATCTAAAACTACAAAATATTTTAAAATGTAAAAAACATTCTTTGTTCGTTGGCTGTACAAAAACAGCTAGTTGGCTGGATTTGGCCTGTCTCGCATGGTTTGCTAACCCCTAATCTGGATGTCAAAGCCTGAATCTTAGCTCCTCAGCTATAGAATGCTACTCAGCTCCACTTTGTTGTTGTTGTTTTTTTCATCAATTTCTTTGGCCACTGACAAGAACCATTTTAGTAGGCGATAATTCATAAATCTCAGTCAAAAAGAATCATTGTCAATAATAAGATTCTAGATTGTTATTGTGCAGATCTGCCTAAGGGCTTTCATATTTAAGATCTGAATTTTATCCTCACAGCATTTTTATTAGGTAGGGATGGGTAAGCATTATATACAGATAGAGAAAATGAGGTACAAAGAGTACAATGTCCATAGAGCTTAGTTATTCACAAAGTGCATTCACTGTATAGTATAAGGAACACTTAGATATTCACATAAAATCTTGGTTCTGGCATCAGACATTTCTGACATTTCTCAGTAATCATTAATCCTGACATTAAACCTGACAGGTGCCTTTGGTTTACTTTCAGTTAATTGGATTGATTAATTTAATTTAAAAACCTGATCTGCAACTGGATTCATTGCCTGATATTGTGGTTTTATTTGTTAGGACACATAAGATCCTCTAGTAAAGATGAAAGAGGAGAAGATACCTCAGGAAAATCTTACAGTTCTACAAAGTGAAGTATGCTTACAAAGTAAAGTCTACGACCTTCGAGGCCAGCCAAAGGAAGAGAATGGGTAAGGGCATCACAACTAGAAAAGTCACATTAGAAATACTGAGTAAGTTTTGAGAAGTTAGGACCAAGCACTTGAACTGAACTACATATGTGTTTTTTAAGAACTAAGTAAATCAATTTGAAATATACTTGAACTCACAAATTCTCTGAAATAGCAAATTGTGTTTTATAGAACCCTAGTATTCCCTGCAATGTGAATATAATGTACTTGAGACAGTTTCAATGCTGGTGATATCTTCTCCTCTATGATAACAAATGCATAATGATTCAGGTATAAAAACCTCATATTCTAAGAACTGGCTTAATACTCCTAAATTTTTCCAATCTCCCTTTATTCCTAGAGGGTATCCTGGACTAACATTTATGGATTCCATCATTACATTGAAAGGCCAAAAGTATTCCATGGCTCTGTTAATTTGGAACACACAGATTAGAACAAGAACAGAACTTCAAACTCTATTCCCAACCAGAACAAACTAACACTTTTATAAAGTTTCAGTTCTTGGTTTAAACAGAAGTGAGGATGTCTCATTAGTTATACAAGGGTCATACTAGACTCTACACTCAGTTGTTGAATGAGTGAATAAATAAATAAATAAATGCCTTCGTATAATGAGCAAATGCAGCTTGACAGTGAAGGGAATTTATATATCTCTTTGCAACAGCTTGTCCAAATCCAGAGTCAGTCCAGAAATTTCCAGGGGCCTTCTGAGGACTTATTTTGCCTTTTAAAAAGTTCTCTAAGTTTATCAAATATAAATTACCAAAAATACAAATCTCTGGAAGATAATTACTACGTCAGCATTACTATTACTAATAACATAATGATTACCCTGGATTCTTAAACGTTGACATTGATTTCAACAAGTTTCTAAAACAAAAATGTAGCTTCCAATATATATACTTGGTTGCCAGATCTATAAACGTAGATGAGCTAGTATTATTTTCAGACCTGGATGTCTTCTAATTAATGTTTAATTAAATTCCATCTTCTGACATTTGAAGACCTCTGAGGTTACCTATAAGGCAGCAACTATTGATGTTACTGATTCAGTACTTCCCCAACTAGAACAACATTGAAATGTTGGGTTAGTAATTTTTTAAAAATTTTCTCTGCCTTAGCATTTAAGCAAATACTTTGACAAAGTCAAAACTAACAACAGGAGATAAATTTCTATACTGTAAAGAAAAATGTTTTTGAAACATGAGGAATATTTTCGTCTCTGCCCTAGGAATTCAGTGCTGAGATCAGTGTAAGGTTTGAACAATGGACTGTATTGTACAAGTCCATTGCTGAAGCAGTTAAGCCCCTCAAATACTATTGTGTCCATTAGAAATGTCTTAAACTACTTAAGGAGTAAGAAAGCTCAGAAGCCTTGTGCCAGCTTTCCCTGACCACAGCATTCATGGAGACTTATAGAAGAAGTTTCTATTTTATAATAATTCGTTTTCCTTTGAAAACACTTTGTTTTACTGAGGGAGGAAGAAAAACAGATGAGCCTTATAAAATGAAGCTTGTGAAAAAGACATGACCAGTTGCCTGAAATGAAACTCAAATATGAGGAGTTTGGAAGAAGGAAAACCTGTTTCCTGCTTTCTCGGAGTTTGAAAAATATCTTTACATTATCCTGTGTCATTCCATTTGACTGTAGCTGAAATAGTCTCACACTCTGCCCACCCCCATCCCCATTAATTTTCAGAAATTTTTGCCATCATGTTTTTTTGAAAGTTAAAGCCTTGCTTCCTAGATTTGGCTTCCTAGACTATCAAGATATTAAATGTTAGAGTGAGAGTTGAGTGTTTTTCAGTTTGGGGGTTTAAAAGAAGTTTGAGAATCTGACTCAACAATTCAAGGTAAGTATGCTATCGACCTAATGTGAGTGATTCACAGACCCAGAGTCTTCAAGACTTTGTATTCACTGGGTATGGCATCTGAGAGAGAAGCTGAGGGCAAGCCAGTTTAAAGCCAGAAGTTACATTGAATAATAAAAATGATAAGGTATTTGATTACATATATATATATATATATATATATATGTATATATACACACTCATACATGCATACACACATGCTTGAGTGTATTATGTGTGTGTGGGTATGTATACATATACATACGTAAATAGGCCTATGCATAGAATAGAGAGCTGAATAGAGAGCTGGTCTTACAGCTAGTTAGACTTAGGTTCAAGTTCTGCCTCTAATGCATATTGCCTGTATACCAGCAAGCCACTCACTTCCTATATCATTGCTTCAGGCAATTCTCTAAAACTGTAAGTTGCAGAGACTGTGCCAACCTATATTGGTAGAGGAAATTTCTTCACTTGGGAGTTCTATATTCCATTAAGTCACAGATGCAGTCCTGATCTTTATGCTTAACATGCACACATATACATATATGTATATATATACATATATGTGTGTGTCTATGTATGTATGTGTACATATTAAGTACGCACATGTTTTTTTTGTGTGTATATATATATATATATGTATATATACATATATATGTATGAGAGAGATAATGAGCTTAACATTTACAAAGCACTTTCTTAGTTCATCACAGCAGTCCTATAGAGTAGGTAATGGTATAAGGATTCTTACAATAAGAATAGTAACAATAGCATTAGCATAGTGCTTTAAGTTTTTTCAAAGTGCTTTGTAGGCATTATCTCGTTGAATCCTCACAGCAACCCTGAAAGGCAGTTGCTATTATTATCTCTGTTTTACTCACAAGACAACTGAGGCTCAGATAGTATAAGTGACATGCGACCAAGTATCTTAGATTGAATATGAATCCTACAGAATGGTATACTAGAAAAGTGCTGTACTTGAACCCAAAAGAGACCTGGGTTTGAATTTCGCCTCTTACAACTTTGTGACCATAAACAAATTATTTAACCTTTCTAAGTCTCAGTTTCCTCATATTTAAAATGGAGAAACTAACACCTGTGCCACCTCCCTTACAGGATTATTGTGAGGATAAAGTGAGAGCATGAGTTAAAACACTATATAAATTTTAGCCATGATAATAGGACCTCTAGTGAAGTTGCATGTAACTTAAAACAGCAAAAACTGTGCTATATAGGTTCCAGTGATTGTGTGATTAAAGGAAATAAAAGTACTTTGGCCTGTAGCTTAAGGAGAGCATCTGAGCAGAGGGCAATAAGGTAAGAATCTGGTTATGTCTCTGTGGAGGGTTGGAGGTCTTTGCATCTCTGGAATTTTTTACAAGCTTTAAGTTCAATAAAATAATGCAAATCAATATAAGGATATATTTAGAGAGTCTGTGAGGGAGCAGTTGTCCTGAAGGCCTAAGGAAAAGGCTTTGGGTCTCCATGACTGTCTTTTAAAAATGGAGCTTTCAAGAGATATTGCATAAATGAATGTGATGTTTTTCATTGATAAAAGTACTTTGAAATCCTCAAAAGAGTACATGGTTGTAGAGCTGGAAAGGACTGTAGAAAATTATCCAGTTCTTCTTCCCTCATTTTATAGATGATCACGATGAGTAAAGTTAGTACAGTCTTTTTAAAAACCACATACTCTTTCAGCTATGTTCACTGTAAAATTCACTAAAATAATAATAGTACTTAAATGCATTTCTCCATTCTCCATCTATATTAATTGAGATAACATATGTAAAGGGCTCTGCAAACCTTAAAGTATTATAGAAATGATTATTATTAGTGTGATTAAAAATACCTCTCCACCCTTCTTTCATTCCTAAACATAAAAGGTATTATTTGAAAGTACTTACTTGTATGTAGGATGTATAAGTCAAAAGTAATTTCTGAGAGTAGAAATAAACTATGGAATCCTTATTAATATATAAATATTAGTTAAACTACAAGGATTAAGTTAGAAGAGCATGCAATAAAACAATAACAAAGAGTTTTATTTAGATTTCCAAGATTAGTAATACAAGATATCATAGACTATGAAGCATGTGCTTAAAAGAAAGCTAAATATTACTGATATCCTGTCTTATATATTCCTAGTCTATTTTGTATTAATTTCCTACCTTGATGACTTAATTAAGGTTTTGTACTATTTTTGAACACAGAAATGAAGAAAAACATTTACACGGTGCAGACTGGCGACAACAATCCTTAATCCACTTTTCTTCACCTTATTCATCAGAGCCATCAAACCATAGCATAACTCTCAAAAAGTATGTGTCCAGCTCTCTAAATACAGGATTAACTTCTTCTTCAGTTGCACCCAAATCTTCATCATCTTCGACAAATTTTAACAGAATTGACAACACAAGTAAGTATAACGTTAAAAAAAACTGAAACAAATTTCAAAGAAGTTCTCTGTGTGGATGGCAGCCAGAAATGGCCATGTCTTGGTTGTACCTGACAGAAGATAATCATTATTCTCAAATTATTGTAGCTCGCCACCATAGTCCGTTCTTGTACCACTTATTAAATTATCTTTGTGAGTTTCTTTGGTTAAAAAAGTCAGTACCAGGTAGCTAGCCTGTTGTTGAAGATGAGCCCTCATAAATTTAGCTAAGCTGATACTCAGGTGGCAGACCTACATCCATTACTAGCGCTGTACACTAAAACTTTCAAGTTCAATAGAATCTGTCAGAACTTGTGCTCAACTGTTATCTCCTTTGAGAACCATGATATCTCTACATACTACAATGAACCATGAGAGTAGGGCTTTTAGTGGAAAAATTCTTCCCTTATAACTAACTCCATTATTACACTTCTCTTGAACCAATTTTTGTATACCAATTGATAGAAAACCTATTGAGATTTTCTACAGATAGAGATCAGTGGTAACTATATTCTACTACCGGGAGTTTCCAAAGAGGAAAATTGTGCAAACATTGGAATTAGATTCTGCACTGCACCACCTTAAACTTAAACCATTCTAAAGGAATGTCAGCTCGTGTGAGGGCTGATGTTACTGTAGAAGGATTACAATTTAAGGGTCTAATAAAGAAAGCACTGATTTCATTTGTGGAAAACTTTTTTTAATTATATTTTTTTGTCCCCAATTAAATATTAAAAACAATTTTAGCATTTTTTAAAGTTTTGCGTTCCAAATTCTATCCCTGTCTTCCTCTTCTCACTCCTTCTTGATATTGAAATAGGTTAAACATGTGCAATCATGTAAAACATTTCCATATTAGTCATTTTGTACAAGAAGACTCAAACAGCAACAAAGAAAGAATGAGTGAAAGAAAGAATGTGGAAAACAGTATGCTTCATTCTATATTCATACAATATCAGTTCTTTCTCTGGAGGCAGGATAGCATTTTTCATCATGAGTCCTTTGGGATTGTCTTGGATCATTGCATTGCTGAGGATGACTAAGTCATTCACAGTTGGTCACCATATAATATTGTTGTGCTGGTTTTGCTCACTTCATTTTGTATCAGTTCATGTAAGTCTTTCCAGATTTTTCTGATAATCATCCTGCTTGTCATTTCTCATAGCACAATAATATTATATCACAATCATATAAGACAATTTGTTTAGCCATTCCCCAATTGTTGGGTGTCCCCTCAATGTCCACAGTTCCTAACCACAACAAGAATAACTGCTATAAATATTTCTGTACAAATAGATTCTTTTCTTTCTCTCTTTTTTAAACCTCTTTGGAATACAGACCTAGCAGTGGTATTGCTGGTTCAGGCTATGCAGAGTTTTAGAGCCCTTTGGGCATAATTCCAAATTCCTTTCCAGAATGATTGGATCAGTTCAAAGTTCTACCAACAGTGCCCCAGTTTTCCCACATCCCCTCCAACATTTATCATTTTCCCTTTTTCGTCATGTTAGCCAATTTGATAGGTGTGAGGTAGTACCTCAGAGTTCTTTTAATTTGCATTTCTCTAATCCAGGGTTGGGAAACCTGCAGCCTCGAGGTCACATGTGGCCCTCTAGGTCCTCAAGTGTGGCCCTTTGACTGAATCCAAACTTCCCAGACTAAATCCTGTTAATAAAATCTTTTAAACTTTAGGTAATCAAAATGATCCATTTTGTATAAAATAAAGACATTTTACATAAAATTTTATATAAAATTAAGAAATATTTCTTAATGCTCTCTAATTTTGTTTGGTCCTAAATTCTTCCCTTATCCATAGATCTGACAGGTAAACTATTCCTTGCTCTCCTAATTTGCTTATGGTATCACCTTTTATGTGTAAATCATGGACCCATTTTGATTTTATCTTGGTATGCAGTGTGAGATGTTGGTCTATACATAGTATCTGCCATACCGTTTTCCAGTTTTCCCAGCAGTGTTTGTCAAATGATGAGTTTTTGTCCCAAAAGCTTGGATCTGTGGGTTTATCAAACATAGATTACTATGGTGCTTTACTACAATGTATTGTGCACCTAATCTATTTCACTGACCCACTACTCTTTCTTAGCCAGTACTAGATTGTTTTTGATAATTATTGCTTTATAATACAGTTTAAGATCTGGTATGGCTAGACCAACTTCATTCACATTTTGTTCATCAATTCCCTTCATATTCTTGATCTTTTGTTCTTCCAGATGAATTTTGTTATAATTTTTTTAGCTCTATAAAATAACTTTTAGTAGTTTGATTGAAATGGCACTAAATAAGTAAATTAATTTAGGTAGAAATGGCATCTTTATTATAATGGCTCAGCCTACCTATGAGCAATTAATATTTTTCCAGTTGTTTAGATCTTAAATTATTTGTGTATTTCCTATATTTTTGTCTACCCAGTTTTTCTCTTTTTTATCCTTCTCTCTTTCCCTTACCTTTCACCCTAAACCTCCCCACAAGTTTTTTTTCTTTAGTTCTGATTATCACCTCCCCCAATCTGCCATCCTTTCTATTGGTTCCCTGTACCCCTACTCTTTTCCCTGTTCATGTTTCATGATTCTTGTAGGGTAAGATAGATTTCTATATCCAACTGAGTGTGTATGTTATTCCAGCCAATTCTGACGAAAGTTAAGTTTCAGGCTTTGCTTCCTACCCTCCCCCATCTTGCCCTCTACTGTGATAGCTCTTTCATACCATTTTTATGTGAAATGATTTACCCCATTCTAACTCCCTCTTCCCTCTTCTCCCAGTACAGTCATTTTTCTCACCCCTTAATTTTGTGTTTTTGGATATCATCCCATCATAATCATCTCACATCCACATCATCTTTTTATGTCTGCTCCTTCTAATTGTCCTTGTAGTGATAAAATTCTTAAGGGTTACAAATATCATCTTGCCATGAAGGAATTAAACTAATTAGCCTTATTAAATCTCTTCTATTTTCTCTTGTTTCTTTTTTTACCTTTTTATATTTCTCTTGAGTCTTTTATTTGAAGATCAAATTTTCTCTTCACCTTTGGCCTTTTCATCAGGAATGCTTGAAAGTCCTCTATTTCTGTAAATTTCTATTTTTTCCCTTGAAGGATTATACTCAGTTTTGCTGGGTAGGTGTTCCTGGTTGTAATCCAAACTCCTTTGCCTTCTGGCAAGGATATTCCAATATTCCAATCCTTCTGGTTCTTTAATGTAGAAACTGCTAAATCCTGTGTAATCCTGACTGTGGCTCCAATGATATTTGAACTGTTTCTTTCTGGATGCTTGCAGGATTTTCTCCTTGACCTGGGTGCTCTGAAATTTGGCTATGGTATTCCTGGGAGTTTTTGTTTTGGGATCTCTTTCAGGTGATGATCAGTGGATTCTTTCAATTTTTATTTTGCCATCTGGTCCTAGGATATCAGGGCAGTTTTCCTTGATAATTTCATGAAATATGATGTCCAGACTCTTTTTTAATCATGGCTTTCAGGTAGTCCAATAATTCTTAAATTATCTCTCCTGGATCTATTTTCCAGGTTTTTCCAGTGAGAAATTTCACATTTTCTATCTTTTTTTTTTATTCTTTTGATTTTGTTTTATCATTTCATGATGTCTCATGGAGTGCCTAGCTTCCACTTGCCTAATTCTAATTTTAAGGAATTATTTTCTTCAGTGATCTTTTGCAACTCCTTTTCTATTTGGCTAATTCTAGTTGTTGTTGTTGTTGTTGTTATTGTTTTAGGCAATGGGGTTAAGTGACTTGCCCAGGGTCACACACCTAGTAAGTGTGATGTGTCTGAGGCCGGATTTGAACTCAGGTGGTCCTGAATCCAGGGCCGGTGCTCTATACACTGTGCCACCTAGCTGCCCCTGTTAATTATATTTTTTAAGAAGTTATTTTCTTCAGTGAATTTTTGTATATGTTTTTCCATTTCTTTGAGTCTCTTTTACCAACCTGTTGACTTTTTTTTCATGATTCTCTAACATTACTCTCATTTATTTTTCAAAATTTTCTTCTGCTTCTCTAATTTGATTTTTTAAATCTTATTTAAGCTCTTCTAGGAGTTCTTTTCAGGCCAGAGACCAATTTACATTTTTCTTTGAGGCTTCATATGTAGCCATTTTGACACTGTTGTCCTCTTCTAAGTTTGTGCTTTTAATCCTCCCTGTTACCATAGTAATGTTTTATAGTTAATTCTTTTTTGTTGTTTTTTGCTTTTTTTCTGCCTGTTTTCTGACTTTGTACTTTTATGTGAGAGTTGGACTCTTGCTCCTGCACTATCTCAAGCTTCTTCTGCCAGGGCTCAAGGCCTTAGCGCTGTCTTTCACTGGGCCTCAGGGTCTAGCTTGTGGCTTACATTGGAATAAGGAGGCCTCCCTGTAGTAGTAGGGGTAGGGCCTCTCTGTTGGCCTGTACCAGAGGTGAGATCTCACTGCTGGCCTGCTGTGTAGATGGGGCCTCTCTGATAGTTGACAGGGTCTTGTAGATGGGGCCTCTCTAATAGGGGCAGGATCTTGCTGCTGGCCTACCCCAGGAATGAAGTCTCACTCTTGGCCTGCCCTGGGGCAAGATCTCTTGCTGTTGGCAGGCCCCAGAGGCGGAGCCTCACTACTGGCCAGCAATGTGGGCAGGGCCTTGCTGGTGGCCTACACTGGGTGTGGAGCCTCACTGGTTCTCTACATTGAAGGTGGGGGCCTTGCTGTGCTGGTGGTCTTGGACTACTGACTTGCCTCAGGGCTGCTGGCTTGTACAGGGGTGGGCCTCACTGGGGCTCAGACCCTTGCTGCCAGGGGCCCCCTGAGGTGGGCCTGGTGCTCTGCTTGTTTATGGGGCTTCCCTCCAACCCCAGTGAAACCGACCTTTCCTATTGTGCTGGTAAGCTGCTTCCTCACTCCTAAATTGGTTCTGAGGTATTGTTTGGAGGGGAATTCAGGAGGGCTCTGGAGAGTTCCTGCCTCACTCCACCATCTTGGCTCCACAAGTTCTGGAAAACTTTTAAGAAAGGAAAGGGACCAGAACTTATTTGAGACTTATGTTTGGGAGGGCAAGTTGGGCACACTGGTTGCCCTCCTTTACTTCCCATACCAAACAAAGATATATTTGTAGATTCTGATAGTTTTTAATTTGGAAGAGAAGAACTCAGATGTATTTACTGCTCCTAATCAATAAAATTTTTGCTAGTAGCACCAAAATGATTGTTGTACTAGTGATATCATTTATCTGAACCAATTCTCCCCAGGATACACATTGACATGTCACAAAAAATAGTCACTTACCAGATGTCATTTCGTAGCTTCATGTTTAAGGCTTTAAATTCTCATTGAGGAGATAATTTTATACTGATCATAAGAATTATGTAATGTTGCATTATAATTGGGAAAAAATGTAAATCACTGCTTCTTTTTTATCTTCTTTTTATTTGTTGCACTCTTGGTCTCTACTTCCTTTGAAAAGGTAGTAGCAGCCCCTCTGTCTCTGTGCTCCAGAAGCCACGTTTTGCAGTCCTTACACCTCCACCCACTGTGTTAGGAGATGGGGAGGACTACTTTCACTCTTTGTTCTTCAACTCAAAGAGACGTCTTACACATCCTGAATTCCCTGATAGAACTAAAACTTTGTTTCCAGATGATCTGGCTGACATATCTAACTCTAGGTAAGTGTTCTTGTTTGAAACTGTTACCATTTAACTTAAAGGTTCATGTGATTGCAGTTGGAGGGCAGGAACTGGCAGGAAATTGACTTGAACCAGAAGTTCTCATTTTTCATGGTCACTGATTTATTCCATAGCCCTAAGTCGTATTCTATACCCCCTTTTAATAAGCAGCAAACTGCAAATAAATAGTATATGTTAACTGTAGATAAAATATGCCAGATGAGCCAAAGCTAAAAAGAGAAAAGAAAAACCCTAAAAATACAGGCAGTTCTGTTGTTCAAGGGCCAGTTATCTAGTTGGTGGATTATTCAAGTCCATTTCTTCTTCTTCTTCTTTGGCCTTTCTACAGCTTCTTGGTGCTTGTAAAAATGATCTAAAGCAGCAAGACAGAAAAATGTCCTTTTCTCAATATAGTGTGTTGGTTATTAGAACTCTTATGAAAGGTTTGATCAGAAGGGAGATTGAAGTGGTAAGAAATAACATCAGCTACTTCAAGTAAGGCCAGATTATGAAGAACCTTAAATTTAGATTTATATTGATTCAGATTTGATGTGCCAAAAAAAAATAGTATGCCATTGACAGTTTCAAAGAATGAAATGGCATGATTAAACTGATTCTAAAGGATGATTTATTCTGTTAGTGTTGTGCAGAATGGAATAGAGGAGACGAGAGATGAGTCAGGGAGGTTACTCTTGTTAATCTGATTTCAAGGAGGTAAGAACATAGACTAGGGTGGTAGTGATGAGTATTAATAGACAGTGAAAAATGTGAAGGATGTTTCAGAGGAAAAATGGACAGTATTTAGTGATACAAGAGGAATGAGTCAAAGATAACTTTACCCTTTCAAATATGAGTAACTGGGTGAATGTGGGTACCATTTGATAGAAATTGTGAGTTTAGAAGAGGAAATACTAGTTAATTCTGTTTTAGGATATGTTAACTTTAAAGTAGTTGGAGATTTCAAGTAACAACGTGGGAATAAAGATAAAAATTTGGGAGTTGTCAGCATAGAGATAGTTTATACCATAAATATGGATGAATTCTCTAAGGGAAGGAGTACAGAAAGAATAACAGAGGGCCAAGGAAGGACCAAATACAATTAAAGGTTACATTGCCAAAGATTTATAAATCTTTGGGACAGTACTGCAGATGTTTTAACAACCTGTGTAAACACCCAAAGAATGGAAGTGACAGGTTTGATATAAGTTTAATTCAGGTGAGACCCTAAAAGCAGTGTTTTTGTGTACAGTTATTCACTCTGCTATCTCAGTATCTAGAGAAGAATTACCCTTATCCAAATCAGCTCTAGGAGGCCTGGCTACATTGTTCTTGACTTAGAGTACCACAGGTCAATTTTGGGAATTGCCTTAGGATGTTGGATCTGTTTTAGTGCAAGATTGAGAGTACAGGACAGAATGTTTCCTAGAGGGGAGATTCTGAGTTCCTTCTTGGAGGGGTAAGGTTGGAGGGAGGCAGTCAGTCATAACGGGAAAGGAGGAAGGAGGAATTGGCAGGAAGGTTAGGAAAGAAGGCTTCCCAAAGGCTCTTGCCCCATACCAGATGGGTTCTAGATTGCCATGGTAAAAGATATCTGCCCATTCCCACTGGCATCCCAATGGGAAGTAAAAGCAAGACTGCAAGAAAAAAATACTAGGGAAATAGAATACAGAATTTACCTACCTATTCCAATTCTTTAGACATTTGAGACAAGCAGAGACCTTGTATGGATCTCTTAGGGCACATATAATGCTCCCAACCCCACCATTACCAACTTGAACTCATGAAGAAATCTTGATATTTCTCCCACCAGTCCACTAATTGCAAGTTTTAGGGAGGTACAAACTAATGGAATCCATTAGCTGGAAGGCAAATTCCAGGTAACAGGTTAACTGGTTTGCCATTACCTGCAGAGTAATGGGAAGCATCTAAAAGCAAATTAAAATAAGATTACTAGCATGGAACTGTTTTGGAGAACCTACTTAGTCGGTGCAAATAATGCAAAGGTGACTATTTTACAAAGGAGCATGGTAGCTGAAACATTTTAAGTACTTAATATTTTTTTCATTCAGAGGAAGAATGTTAATTTAGTCACAGGTCTCATAATAAGTAAAAGATGGCATGTTTATAGGGAGAAAGAAAAGAATATTGGTAAGATAATGCCATCATGGTTAACCAGTTATATAAAGCTCTCACTGGTGCATACTGTTGCTAGGGTTGAGGGGTTAAGAGGAAGGCATAGGAGAAGGAATAGGTTCCTTAATCCGTTTTCTTACCTAACATGTGTGTGTGTGTGTATTTTAAAAAAAGTAACTTAGAAGTCTACCTAACAAAAGATTGGCCCTATCTTCATATTTCGAAGTATTTGTCAATTTGTGAAGTATTTCCCTATAAACTTGGGTCTTTTTTCAAAAGGAAGGCAATTGAAATGATTAATTCTGATATTTTACAGAGAAGTATTTTGGTAAAGCAAATTATATGCAATTGATATATCAAACTTAAGGGGGAAATGCATCTTTAAGCTTAATAAATTAATAGCACTTTTGAGTAATCAGAGGTTTAAGAAAAGCATGCATATAGATTAACTGCATGTATGGGTAATTTTAAAATAGCCAAGTACTTGTCTGTTTAAATATGCAGTTTACAAATTAGTGCTTAGTAGCATCCTGTGGAGAAATGATGAATGCTTGTATTAGAAAAGGGACAAAAGAATCTTCTATTTAAAAAAAAATTTATAAAGATGATAACATTTATAAAGGAAAATAATAAAATGTTTCATTCTCAACATGTCTAAAGAAGCTTGTAAGGAGTGTTCTCTCTCAAAGAAAGAAGTAGGCATTTAGTTTTGTAAGAAATTAACCATCCCCAAATATCCCAAATTTGATCAGTCGATTGATTGATAGATAGATGTGTATACACACATTATATATACTATATGTACATACATATGTATATAGCACTGACAAAAAGCAAACAAAAAAAACCTTATATGTATCTCAGATTAAACAGACCCACTTCTTCCCAGTGCTTATAAAAATGAACTCAAGCCTTTCTTTTGTTGAGACTGCATCAGATTTTGCCAAGGTGATGCACAGTGAGATGGAAGGAAAAAAGACTGAGCTAAAATGAAAATCCAGAGATTCAGTTTCTAGAACTGCCACAATCACCAACACAGGGAAGGATTTAGAGCAAGTCATGATTTCTGAGCCTCTCTTTCCTCATCTGTAAAATAAAGAAGTTGTACTAGATCAGGAATTCTTAACCTTTTTTTTAAGTCATGGACCCCTTTGGCAGTCTTTAAAACTGCCTATAAAGCCCTTCTCCATTCCAAAAAATATTTTTAAATTCATAAAAGAAAATATATAGGATTACAAAGGAAAACAATTATATTGAAATACAGTTATTAAAATATTTTCCATCCAAGTTCATGGATCCCATAAAATCTCCCCACAGACCCAGACCCCAAAGTTAAGAACCCTTAGATTAGATAATTCCTCAGATAGTTTAAATGTCTTAAATCCTGATTCTATCAATCTATGATCCTTTGTTTCTAGATAGTATACTGTGAATTCCACCAAGTAGTAAAGCATGTACTTTGAGTTGTTTGCCTATCAGAGAAGTGGAGTTTTTTCCCCTAGAATACGTGCTTCCACCCAGGCCCCCTTGGAGGTAGAATCTGTAGCCAGGAAAGAGATTTTCTTTCAGTGGAAAACTCTCTATCCTGTAAAACAAATGGCCTGTGAAGTCACAACCTTGATCTTATTAGCATCACACTTTGAACAACCCAGCTGAACAGTTTAGACTAGGGAAAACAGCCTCAACTTGACAGAGTAATTTCAGTAAGTGACTCAGTCCATCACAGCCTGCTCCATACTACCTGTCAACAGGGTAAAAACAAATAACTAACTCATTTTGTTATTTTTAGTTTTTAAAAGAATAATTCAGTAAGAGAGATGGCAGCATAGAGAAGTTTTTCGTTTTTTTAAAGGTCATTATCCTGACCTTCTTTTTACCCTGTAAAAACTACATGGAACAAGATAAAATAAGGAGAAATTTTCAAAACATTGATTTTATTAATATTCTTAAAGATAAGTGTCATAGCCGTATCACAGGTAAATATGTTAAAATATAAATATCTTGGCTAAGATCATATAATAAACCTATGGAGTGTTCAGAAAAAAGACAAGTTGGCTTTCTCCCATTAAAATTCTTATTAGGAAATCAGTCTGGGAAACTTTCTAGTGGTAATAGACCTAGTATTTCAAGGACTGAAAATACACACCTAAATAATTTGCCATTGTCTCACAAAGAAATCTGTCAATGTTTATACTGGTCTATAACTTAATTTAAGAGCCCCTAGAGGGTGAAGCAGATAGAGTGTCCAGCCTGGAGTCAGAAAAACCAGAGTTCAAAACTGGCTTCAGATAGAGGTTGTCTCAGCCCTGAGCAAATCACTTAATTCTGTTTGCCTCAGTTTCCTCATCTGTAAAATGAGCTAGAGAAGGAAATGGCAAATCACTCCAGTATTTTTGCCAAGAAGATCCCAAATGGGGTCACATAAAATCAGACACTACAGAACAACAACAACAACAAAACCCTTAATTTCTTCATTTAAAAAGAGAGACATTATTTTCCACCTATAACATAAAAATATCTTGTATTTGTATGGTCCTTTCAACTTTAAAATTTTTTCATATATATTTTCTCATTTCATAATCATAGCAGCTTTGAAATTGTTAGCACAGGCATTATTATCCCCGTTTTTCTTTTTGTTTTGTTTCGTTTTGAGAGGCAGTTGGGGGGCAGCGAGTTGGTGCAGTAGATGGAGCACCGTCTCTGGATTCAGGAGGACCTGAGTTCAAATCTGGCCTTAGACACATAACACTTACTAGCTGTGTGACTCTGGTCAAGTCACTTAATCCCATTGCCTAATCCAAAAAAAAAAAGAGAGAGACACAGTTGGAGTTAAGTGACTTGCCCAGGGTCATACTGCTAATAAATGTCTGAAGCTGGATTTGAACTCAGGTTCTCCTGACTCCAGGACCAGTGCTCTATTCACTACCCCACCTGGCTTCCCCTTTCCCCATTTTTTCAGAAGAGAAAATAGACATGAACAAAATGCTTTATTGGCAGAGTTTAGGCAGTTTCCTGACTTCCTACCCCACACTCTTTATAGTAGAGTACAACACTTCCACTCTGATGCTTTTATGCATAAGGAACTATATAACAAGAAATGAGAGAAGATAACAAATTAAAATAAATACAATCTCGTGTTACCAGAGAACATAAGAGAAATAACAATTTTGTAAAGGAAGGAATCATAAAGAAATTAAGATGTTTGCCTATGGTCCTATAACATCAGCATCTGAGCTATAAGTATGTGCAAGGTTTTATTCAATAAGATCAAAGGATTGTAGATTTAGACCTGGAAAAGAAGTCATAAGATCATAGATCCCAAACTGAAAGAGACCTCAGGCCATTTAATCTAATCCCCTCATTTTACAGTTGAGGAAACTGAGGCCCAGAGAGGTCACGGGGTTTGCCCAGGGTCACTTGAGTGGCAAATAATAGAGCCAGGATTTGAGTCCAGGCTCTTTGAATCCAGGATCTAAATACAGTACTCTTTCTACTGCTACATGCTGCATCCCTATAATAACTCATTTTTCTTAGATTTTTAAATAGCATACCAGGGTCTTTTATTATTCTGCTATTAAATTGCTTTGATTGCAAAAGGTACAACCTTTTAAAAGCATGTTATATTATTTTATAGTGCTCTTGGAGACATTAAAATAGTTGAAGTGAGTGGCAATGGTTTGTTCGTGAAGATAATTAACTCTTCTCCTGACAAAGAACTGATGATTGGAGATCATATTCTCCAACAAAATGTGAATGGCCATGCTGTCTCTTTGTATAAATTCCACCCAAATATTAGAATGCCAGCCAATGCTGCAGTAACTGTGAGTATAAAATATAAACATACTGAATAATATTGTGGAGAACCAATAATTTCATGTTAATAATTCTGTAATTAATATTATAGAAGCATAGAATTACAGTTGAAAGTCTCAAAAGTCACTTAGGAGATTCTTTACCCAAAGCATGAAACCTGTCTTCAACATCCACAGCAAGTTATCCATCAGTCTCTTCTTGAAGGACTTCAGTGACAGAACTCTTGACTTCCTCAGTCATCCTTTTCAACTTTTAAACAGATTTGTTAGGAAACATTTCCTTATGTTAAGATGAAATATATTTCCCTATGTTTACTACTCATTGTTTCTAACTCTGCTCTCCAATGCCAACTCTTACAGGATAACCCTTTGATGATGATAAGCTGAAATAGCCATTATCTCCTATATCTTTACCTGAAACTTTATGAAACCCACATAAATTTTTTTATATAATCTGTTCCAGGCATAGAGGCATCTATCATGTTCTCACTAAGTCTTGTCTTCCTCTGTCTAAGTATTCCTAGTTTACCTCAATTTCCTATAGCATTTTATGAGTCCCCTCACCATCTTGGTCACCCTCCTTTCTATTCACACCAGCTTTCAACATCTCTTCTAACATTCAGTGCTGGTTAAAGTACTCCAAATGTGGGCTACCCAGGCCAAAGCAGAGTGAAACCATTACTTCTTTTGATGTCAATATTGTATATCGCTTAACATAGCCTAAGATTTTATATACACACACACATATATATGTATATATATATATATATACATATATATGTGTGTGTGTATACATATATCTATGCATATGCATATATGTATGTGTATGTATGTATGTATGCATGTACGCGCGCGTGCACACACGCACACACACATGGGCTTTTTTAGGCTATCTCATTACCCTGTTTACTAATCCTGATAGTTTATGAAAATCCTTTTTTTTTCACACGAACTGCTTTTTAGACATTTCTCCTCAGTCATGCCCTTGTATAATTGATTTTGTTGGCCTAAGTGTACAACTTTGCAGTTGTACCTTCCCATTAAATTTCATCAAGTTAGAATCGACCCAAAGTTCTGAGCTACAAAGATCTTTTGGGATCCTGATTTTTTTTTAATATAGTGATATCTTTTATTTTTTATGTCACCTTCTTTCCCTGTATGTCCTTTCCTACCTCCCATTCCCCAAGAGGTATCCTTTATGATGAAAAATAAAAAAGAAAGGGAAAGATACAGTTCATAACACAGCAACTGAGTCCAATAATATATGTAAATGTTCCTCATCTATGGTCTCCTACCTCTATTTAAAAAAAAAAAAGAAGAGCAAAAGGTAGATTCTCTATCTTTGCTTCTGGGCCAAACTCAGCCATTATAACTACAGAGTATTCAGTTTTGTTTGCATTGTAGTTATTGTGCATATTATTTTCCTAGTTTTGCTTATTTTGTTTTATATCAGCTTATGTCTTCCCATGCTTCCCTGAATTTTTAATATTCATTGTTTCTTAAGTTACAGTAATATACCATTATATTCATGTATCAAAATTTGTATAGTTGTACTCTAAATGAAGGGCATTTACTTTGTTACTAGTTTGCTACTATAAAAAGTATGATTATAAGTATTTTGATGCATGAGATCTGTCTTTGACCTTTGTGATATATGACTGGCAGTGAGATCTCTGGGTCACTTTTTTTTTAAACAGTGTTTTATTTTTTCCAATTACATATCAAGACAATCTTCAACATTCATTTTTTGAAAGGTTTTGAGTTCCAAATTTTTCTCCCTCCCTTCCTCCGTCATCTCTCCCTAAGACGGCAAGCAATCTGATATAGGTTATACATGTGCAATCATGTTGAACACTTCCACATTAGTCATGTTGTGAAAGAAGAAACAACAAAAAAGAAAGAGAAAAAAGCCTAAATAGTGTGCTTCAATCTGCATTCAGACTCCATCACTTTTTTCTCTGGATGTGGATAGCATTTTCCATCATGAGTCTTTTTGGAATTGTTTTGGCTCATTGTATTGCTGAGAAAAGCAGTTGATCATTATACAATGTCACTCTTACTGTATACAATAGTTCTCCTCATTCTGCTCACTTCAGTGGGCATCAGTTGCATCAGTTCATGTAAGTTTTTCCGGGTTTTTCTGAAATCTGCCTGCTCATCCTATCTTATAGCACAATAATATTCCACTACATTCATATACCACAGCTTATTCAGCCATTCCCCAATTGATGGGTATCCCCTCAATTTCTGATTTGTGACCACCACAAACAGAGCTGCTTTAATATTTTTGTACATGTAGGTCCTTTTCCCTTTTTTATGATCTGTTTGGGATACAGACCTAATAGTGGCATTGCTGGATCAAAGAGGGTACATAGTTTGATTGCCTTTTGGGCATAGTTCTAAATTATTCTCCAGAATAGTTGGATCAGTTCATCTGGGTCACTTTCTTAACCTAATTTTAAATTGCTTGTCAGAATGGTTAGACTAGTTCATAGATCCACCAACAATGTATTAGTTTATCTTTCCACAATCTTGCCCCCACATTGATTAGTCCCATAGTTTGTCACTTTTGCTAATTTTTTGGGTGTGAGCTGAAACAGTTTTTTTTAACATTTTCATTTCTGATTATTAGTAACTTGGAGCAATATTTCATATGATTATTAATCATTTTCAGGTCTATTTATGCATATACATTGACCACTTATCCATTAGAGAATGGCTTTTGTTCTTGTATTCAGTTTGTAGCTTGGATTTCAGACCTTTATCAGAGATACTAGATGCCAAGGTTTTTCTTCCTAGTTGACCACTTCCCTTCTTATTCTAACTGCATTGATTTTGCTCATTTAAGTTTTTCAGTTGTATACAATTGAAATTATCTATTTAATCCTTTATGATTATCTATATCCCTTGTTTCATTAAGAATTCTCTCCTATGCATAGCTGTAAAAGATACTTGATCTGGTTCTGTTTAAAATTTTTTTTATGATATGGCCTTTGATATTGAAGTTACATGAGATTCAGAATCTGTTATCTAATATGTTAGTTTCTAGCATTGTTTCACTCACAAATTTATAAGGATGTGATCTATGCCTCATTCAGTTCATTGATGGAAATGTTGAAATGAACACAGACAAAAGGGCTAGCACATCTGATGTGAGAGCTTACTGAGCCCTTTTCAGGTCTGCTCATCCACCTTTGGTGTCTGCCTAGCACTGAACTCTGACCTGTGGTTCCAAGAAGCTGTAGCATGCATGGCAACTATACCCTGGTAAATTTTCTTGGTAAACAGGCTAAACCAGGCTGAAGGTAACCAATGGACCTTAAACACTTCAGTGAGTTAGGGAAATGTCTACCTTAAGCATATAAAGACTTCTCCCAGCAGAATGGGCAGATGAGAACAATTTGTTCCAGTAGCCATGAAGGCAGCTGAAAGCAGGTACTATGAAGCACTTATAACTTGGTCAAACATCAGAGATCCCAAGGTCATCCACTGTATCCCTGGCCGTTGCCAGTTGTCTTGACTTTTGTCTTGCCACTGGACTTCAATGACTCTGGAAGAGAGAATGAGACTGACAAACTTTATATAATTCTGCCTCACTTAAATCCAACTCCTGAACTAGTCAAGACATCATGCTGTGATATCATTGAAAACGAAGGATAGGGACAGCTAGGTGGCACAGTGGATAGAGCACCAGTCCTGGATTCAGGAGGACCTGAGTTCAAATCCAGCCTCAGACACATAATACTTACTAGCTGTGTGACCCTGGGCAAGTCACTTAACCCCATTGCCTAGCCAAAAAAGAAAAAGAAAAAGAAAAAAGAAAACTAAGGTTACAAAACATTTCATTATTCCACTAAAGTCCTCTCTTCAGGTTGAAATTAACCAACACTCTTTGGATTTTGTCATTCAACTAGTTCTGAATCCATATAATTATATTATCCTCCAGTCTATTCACTGCTAAGTGACACAGTGGATAGAATGCCAGGCCTGGAATCAGGAAGATTAATTTTCCTGAATTCAAATCTAGCCTCAGGCACTTGCTTGATCTATGAACCTGGGGAAGTCACTAATTCTGTTTGCCTCAGTTTCCTTATCTGTAAAATGAGCTGGAGAAGGAGATGGCAAACCACTCCAATATCTTTGCCAAGAAAACCCCAAATGGGGTCACAAAGAGTCAGAATGACTGAAACAACTGAACAACAAATCCTCCAATTCATATCTCCCCATCTTATCTGCAAGGATGAAAGACGTTGTAAAATGTTGTAGCATTTTCTTGATCTACCATGCTACCAAGTCTGTCAAAAAAGGAAATACAGTTAGTATAGCAGGATTTATTCTTAACAAATTCATAGTAGTGTTTCATCATGACCACTTCTCTTTCTCAGTACTCACAAACCATCCTTTCAATAATCTATTCTAGAATTTTCCCAGAAGTTGATATTAAACTTACTGTCCTATAATTTGAAGTATCCCTCTTCTTTTCATTTTTGAAAATTGGGACATTAGCCTACCTACAATTTCACGTCTTTCCCATTCTCTGTGATTCCTCATATCATAACTCACAGTCACATAGTGCTTTACAGTCTGAAAATAATTTTCCTTGTAATAAATGTGCATTAATACAAATATTATTATTCCCTTTTTGCAGATGAGGAAACTGAGGCCCCAAGGCCAACCTTTGAATACACCAATCATGTATTAGTTAAATGAGGCTAAACACATTGATTGGTATTAATTCCTCTGCAGTAAAAACTGTAACTCATGAACATACATCAGCAATTCTAGCTGTTTCCTCTCCCACTTTGAGTGAAAGAGCTCAATCTCATCATCCATTTCCTCTAGCTGTCCTGGCAGCATGAAACATGAAGTTACTACCATATTATCACTTCTTTCTCTCTCCATTGCTTCTCATCCAAATGTGTTCCATAGTGTTTCTTCCACTCAAGTTCATGGCTTTTCATAAAGGTTAATTAAGTTCCTAAAGCACAATCCTACCCTTTATTGGATTTGTTTCTTTTTAAGTGTGTCTGTGACCTTGAAAAGGCTATTTTCTGTGGCTGGAATCCCTTCCTACCTCCACCTCTTGGCACCTCTTCTTCTATTCTTCTTCCAATGTCATACCTGCTGAGCTCTCTAATACCTGGCTTAGCAGCTATGTCTGAACTCTTTTCTTCTTCCTCTTTACTTTTCAGTTTTTAACTCTTAATTAGGTCAGTACCCAGGCAAGTAATTTCCAGGCATCATTTGATATATAACATCCCTGAATACAAGCCTGTTCATTTAACAGACATTTTCAGAATGTCTATTGTGTGCATGTAATCGCATACAGAATTTAGGTAAGACACAGCCCTGCCTCCCTGTGTCTTCAAGCTCCAGACAGCTGAATCCCATTCTCTGAAGCAGTTTGCTAAGCCAGCTGTTCACTTCCTATATGCTTCCTTCTGGCTCAAAATCCCTGGCTTCACTGGGTAACAGTAATGAAAACAATGCCCTCATGCCAAAATTCTCCAGTTTCTTGGTGAGGTCTTCATAAATTCTAAGGATTATTTCACAGTTCTTTCTGATGACACATGTCATGCCCACTTGAATCACCAAAAGTACATACATGACAGTCCTCAGACTTAATACATTGCTAAGTGTTTTCTGGCACATTTCAGATGTCTCTGTCTTTGAAAGGTGGTTTATCTCCTGATTGGATATAAGTCAACTGTCACTTCCTCATCTTTAGCAGAAAGTTACTTCCTACCACAACACACCTCATCTTCCTGGAGTAGCAGTAGCAGCTTACACTCTTGATGTCAACTGTTGACATCTTACCTCCTGAGAAGGTCCAGATCCAACTCAATGGCCAAAAAAGCCCTTCCTCCTGCCAAAAACCTGATCTTGCCGTTTCAGCTTCATTGCTCTGTTCTCTGGATAAATGCTAACATTTGTAGTAGATTACCACAGTTTTCATCCCTCATCTCTGTAATGTCTTCAGATGTAATATTTTATTAATATTAGAAATTTTATGAATAGCATGTAGATCTCCCCTTCCTCTCAATCTTTAGTGCAGAAAGTACTCTTGATTCTTGCTCCAGTTAATTTGGACCTAACAAGAGAATCAATGAGTTCATTTACCTGAAGACTGATTACTCATTTAATATCTGTTGGGTTTTTTTTCCTGTTTCCTGTAGGTTTGGGCAGCATCATCTGAGGTAAAGCATCAGCCACCATCAGATTTTCTTTGGAAGGAACAAGACAAGTTTAGAACAAGTCTCAACTGTATTACCATCCTGTGTAAACCCAATGGTGAAGTCAGTGTTGGATTCATAATAATTGTTTATAATTTAACGTATAGATAGACCTCCTGATGTCCCCTAATCCCTTTGGCTTACCAGGTTACTTTGGCATATTTAAAAATTTAACAAGAAACACAAGTAAATACAATCATACATTCAGAAAAATCAGCAGCATCTGCTCTCCAACACCAAATGTGCCAAAATTTGATAAAGAGTATATAAAGCAGAAAAAGTCCTGAACTTGAAATCAGAAGAGCTGAGTTCAAATCTGTATATAATCTTGGACAAGTCATTAACAGTATAAAATGGGAATTTTATGATGTGGAGGATGTGTGCAGTGAGTAGCAATGAGGACTGTGAACAATGCCTGGACATCTACCCCCTACATTATCAGTTAGGTTCAGGGTAGAGAAATACAAGAGGAAAAAGTGAGAATGGGAGGTGAAATTCAATATTTCAGGCCTTTTCTGTGCTTTGTCCCTGGTAACTAGTAAAAAAAAATTAATACCTAAAGGGTATCAGGAACAATAAAATCATTGAGAGATTTGGTAGCTACTCTAAAAATCCTATCTTTCTGTCTTACCTGCAGTATGATTTACTTAATCATATTGCTATTACTACAGTAGATTTGTAGAGTTCATCAAGGTCGGGGTAGGGAACTTGTGGCCTTCTAGGTCCTTGGAAGCAGCCTTTTAACTGACTCCAAGTTTTACAGAACAAATCCTTTTATTAAGGGGATTTGTTCTGTGAAGTTTGGATTCAGGCAAAGGGCTGCCCTTGAGGACCTAGAGGGTTATATGGGGCCTTGAGGCCACAGGTTCCCTGAACCTGATTTAGGTCAACCCCCTACAAAATGTGGGAATCCCCTCTACAATATCTCTGATAGTGGTTCTTTCAGTCTCTCTTAAATTCCTTTATTGACAGGGAATTCATTACCTAATGAATGTAGAGTACCTGTATTATATTCTCCAGAAAAATCTGAATTTAGAAAACAGTGGTTTTTAATTTTTAATATGTCAAGGCTCTTTGTCTCAGTGGTGTGGGAACTCTCTCCATACACAGACTTCAGCCCTTCCATAACTTAGTGAATAAATCATAGAGAGATATCTGAGGCTCAGGGCAGTTAAGTGGCTAATCATAATTGGAGACTGGATTTGAACTAAGGTCTGCAAGTCCAGGACTTTCATCTGTCATGCCAGATGTAAGATCTAACAAAATAAGTTATCAAATATGCATTGAAATTGTTACTGGTTCAAGGTAATGAGGGTGGGCCTCTGTGTATTTAAGAGAGAATTGGCTACGAAGACTGCTATTGAACAGACCAGGCTGTAGTCATTCTGCATTACAGTATAAAATTTTGAAAGGCTTGTAGTACAAATCAGAGGGAAGCAGTTTCTTCTCAGCGTCTTAGGGAATCTAGGCTTCTCTTCCATCTTGACTGTCTGTTCTGAATCTACTTAAAGGACCTAGTTGCTTCACTGGACTCTCAGGGGTAGTGTCTATGTACCCCATGAAAAGTAAAAATGGAGGCTCTCACTAGCCTTCTCTCTGGAAGGCTGCAGAAATGGCCAGTGCAAGGAAGCAAGGTCCCAAGTATTCACCAGGGAACTTGCCTATTCCTATAACCAGTGACCCTTGATAGTCTTTTATCAGCTTTCATGCACTTCTCTTTAGGGCTCTTTATAAGGTTACACCAAATTTCCTAGAATTTCTGTAAGATATGATTTGAATCCCCGAGGTGGGGAACAGGAGGCATGAAGAAAGCTTGTTATTTGCTTCAGGCAAGAACCCAGAAATCCTTTGCTGAGCTTGGAATACAACCCAAGAGGACATTGTTTCCAAGCAGGCCATTAAAACCTCTTCCTCTCCTTCACTGTTTTCTGCATCTTAATTATACATTGTACTTAAATACCTCATTTCATTTCAAGATTCCAAGTACTTTGTAAATAGAGATTCTTGATTTTTCTTTTACAGATATAGGCAGAAGGACTTTAGATTACTTTTCCAGAGATGTAGAGGCCCAGATCTTCTTGGAAGACGTCTCAGTTACTAACACTGAAGCTTCTTGTACAAACTATATGTTCAGTACATAGATGCTTTATGTATAGTCTTGAGCCATATTTTAATACCTATGCTCAAAGGGAGTTAGCTATTTCTTGTACATTCTTATTTACCCAAATTTGGAGGAAGAGTTGTATAAGAAGTGATAAAGATGATATTAGAAGGGTGAAGAACAGGGAGCAAAGTGCAGACATTGTTATGGTCCTTTTACATCCACAAGGGAATCATAGCACCATAGAAATTCAATTGGGGATGTAGTGAGAGGGGCAAAGGGAGGAGAGCCTAGAAATCATCTCAATCACAATCATAGAATTTAGAGCTTAAAGGGACTTACAGAGAATTAGTTCAACCTGTACTTCTACAGATGAAGAAATTGAGGACCAGAGAGGTTAAGCAACTTATTCAAATCCATAGTATGAGTCTGATTAGAACCAAGGTTTCTTTACTTCTGGTCTCTAAAAGCCAATAAATCAAGCAGGACTTTTATTTCATTCATGAAATATTCATGATACTTCATCAAAGTCCTATTTTAAAAATAACTTTGTGTTTTAATAAGCTATAGAATATTCCTTAAACACTAGCAATTAATATTGATTTCAGATAAGGACACTACACTCATTGATAAGGTAGGGAGATTCAGATAGAAAGTTTGTAAATTCTGGCTCTATCTGTGATAAAGATCTCTTGGCTAAGTCATAGATCCATAAAATCCCAGAATTGAAAGGGTCATCAAAGATCATCTAGTATAACCTGTACCTGAATTATAATTCCTTTTACAACGTATCTACCAAGAGGTCCTTCCCTCTTTCCTTAAAGACTTCCAGTCAGGGGGAATTCACTGTCTCCTGAGGCAGCCCATTCCACTTTTGGATAGCTTTAATTGTTAGGACACTTCCTTAGAGAAGCCTAAATATGACTGCAACTTCCACCTGTGGCTATTATTTCTGCCCACTAAGGTTAATCAGAACAAGTATAATGCCTCCATGAGACATGAGACAGTCCTTCAAATATTCCTTCCAAATAGTCCTTCAAAGACAGCTATGAGGACAGTGCCCTAATGTTCTCATCTCCAGGCTAAACTTCCTCAGTTCCTTCAACCAATTTGATATAACATGTTAAGGGTCTTCACCACCCCAGTTGCTCTCCTTTTGCTGCACTACAGTTGATCTATTGATTCCAAAAATGTAGCACCTAGGCCAAACCTAGAACTGTAATTGTGGTTTGACAGTGGGACTGCCATTTTCTTATTCCTAGAAATTATGCCTCATCCCTTTTTGGGGGCTTAAGATTGAATTAGCCTTTTGACTACCACATTATACTGTTGGCTTATATTGAATTTGCTGTCCACTAAAACCCCAGACCTTTTTCAGAGAGACTGCTGGCCAGCTTGCATACCTCTGATCTCATACTTGTGAAACTGATAATTTGAACCCAAGTGTTTGGGTTCAGAATATGGAATTTCTTCTTACCAGATTTGGCCCAACATTCTAACCTGTCAAAATTTTGTTGAATCCTGATTCTATCATCCAGTATGTTAGCTAACCTTCCTAACATTGTGTCATTTACAAAGATGATAGTGTAATTATATAAACTCCAAATTGGTTGATTGACTAGACTGGAAGGGCAGTTGTTGTCAGCCTGGCCATTGGTCTCCACTACAGTGCCCTAGGGATCTGCATTTGGCCTTGTGCTGTTTAACATTTTTATCAGTGACTTCATTAAAGACACTTGCTTATGAAGAAAATGCTTATCACATTTCCTGATGACACAAGGCTAGGAAGAATAGTTCATAAACTAGGTAATGAAATCAGTATTTAAAATATGCTGACAGTCTAGAACATTGGCCTGAAGCTAGTAAATCAGGTAAATATAATAGAGATAAAAGTTTTACATTTATCTTAAATAAATTGACTTCACAAGTACAAAACAGAGGAGGCATAGGTAGATAGCAATTGTCTGAAAAAACATCTGGGTTGCTTTTTTTTGTGGATAGCAAGTTCAATGTCAGTAAACTGTGAAATGAAAGAAAAAAAGAAAGCTAATGTGATCATGAGCTGCACTAAGAGAAGTCTATCTTCTAGGAATACGGGAAGTGGTTGTCCCACAGGATTCTGCCCAGTCAGATCACATGTGGATTGTTGTGTTCATTTCTGGGCACAGCAGTTTAAGCAGAACACAGAAAAGCAGGAGGGTAACTGAAATAATAAAGGGCCTTGAGTTTACAAGTCATATGATGATCATATGAAAAATCTGTGTATGTTTAACCTGGCAATGTGAAGATTTTGGTTGGAATAGCAGGAATTGTTGTGGTCAAGTATTTACGGGGCTATTAAGTGCAAAATAGATTCAATTATTACATTTGTTCTGTTTAAGATCTCAGGTCAGAAACAGAAGCAATGGGAAGAAGTTGCAATGAGAAAAATTTAGGCTTGACATTAGGAAAAATAAAACTATTCCTGAGTAGGATGTAGAGGGTTTCCTTGAAGAGAGGTCTTTGAGAAGAAGAAGAATGACCACTTGTCAGATCAGATGTTATAGGAGATTTCTTTTCCACTATGGGGTGGACTAGATGACTGTTGAGGTCCTTTCCAACTCTAAAATTCTGTGATTCTTTAAACTTGTTTAGCATGCTAGCTATGTCTTTATCCAGGTCATAGGTAAAAATGTTAAAATAGCACAGGGCCAAGTATCAAACCATGAATGATTATGTTTTGAGATCTGGCTATTTACCCAGTTTCAAATCCACATAACTCTACTATTATTTAATTCACATCTGTTTTAGCCATGAAAATAGCATGAGTCTTTATCAAATTCTTTGTTTTCTAGTACCTCACATTCTTCCTCTGTTTAAAAGAAACAAAATACCCTTCATAAAAGAGGGTCTTGTGATGGTATTGTCTAAAATGCTATAGAAAATGTAAATGTGATTTAGAAAGTAGATGCTAAACCTTAAA